AAAAAAAAAAAGAAAAAGAAAAGAAAAGAAAATGACATGGAGGCTATGTTAACCAGTTTGATGGAAGTGTTTTGGATTGTGTGTGAAAACCCCACACTGTACCCCAGAAGTGCATTAATATACATGGTTACCATTCAATAAAAAATAAAGAAAGAAAAAAGAAAAACTATACATATGAACAAAATAATAACATCAACAAAGAGATAGAAATTATTTTCAAAAACACCAGACAGAAATTTTGGAGCTGAAAAATATAGTAACTGAATCAAAAATTCACTAGAGGTGTTCAGTAACAGATTCAAACAGAGAGAAGAAAGGATCAATAAACTCAAAGACAGGTCATTTGAAATTGTTAAATCTAAGGCTCAAAAAGAATGAAGAAAAATGAACAGAGGTTAAGAGAATTATGGGACACTATCAAGCAGACCAAAATACACATTTGGGAGTCTTAGAAAAAGAAAACAAAGAGAAAAGAGTATAGCACTTATTTGAAGAAATAATGGTCTAAAACTTCCAAAATTTGAAGAAAGACAAAGATGAGCAGCTCAACAAACACTAAGATAAATCCAGACTTATACCAAGACACATCATAATTAGACCATGAAAGCTATAGGAAAAGAGATAATCCTGAATGCAGTAAGGAAAGCAACTTATCACGTACAAGAGCTCTTCAATAAGATTATTGGTGCATTTCTCAGCAGAAACCTTGAACCCGGAAGGCAGTGGGTGATATCTTTAAAGTGATAGTGGGGGGGAGTCAACAAGGAACTATATATCCAACATTTTCTTTCCAAAACAAAGGGAAAATTAAAATACTCATTGATAAGTAGAAGCTGAGGGAGTTCATTATCACAAGACTTGCCCTACAAAAAGTGCCAAAGAGAGTCCTCAGTTGAAATGAAAGGGCTTTAGAGAGTAACTCAAACATGAAAACATGAAGGCCCCTTGTAAAGAGAAACACATGAACAAATAAAAAAAACTGTATCATGGTAATTTTGGTTTGTACCACTTTTTATTTGTTTATAGTACTTAAATAATAAATCATAAAATTAATTATAAATCTATATTAATGGGTACACAATATACAAAAATGTTATCTGTGACATCAACTTAAAGTTTAAGCAGGGGGCAGAGCTGTAAAGGAGTAGGATTTTTGAATCTGATCTAAGTTGTTATCAGTATTAAACAGGTTATTAGAACTATAAGATGTTACATGGAAATCTTATGGTGACCACAAAAAAATTTTATAGAATGGGCATAAAAAGAAATGAGAAGGGAATCAAAATATGTCTGTACAAAAAATCAATTTGTTTAATGTTTTAAGACTTCAAGAAAATAATGAACAAATGGCAATAATAAATCCCTATGTATCAGTAATTACTTTAAACGAAGGGGCTAAACTCCCCAGTCAAAAGACATAGATTGGCATAATGAATTTAAAAACCAGGATCAAATTACATGCTGTCTACAAAAACTAAGCTACTTCTACATGATGGAATATCATTAAATCAATTTTAAAACTTTCAGAATTGCTTTTGCAATTAAAATGCATATAGTATAATACTCATTTTAAAAAGCAAAACCATATTTATATTATAATCCAAATGTATACAGTAATATTCATTCATTCACCTCCTCTTTACTTTCTTCCTCTCCAGCCCAGTCATGTTTCAACAATTCTCAACCAGATCTCCAGCCTGGGCAATGAGAAAAGTCAATTTACACTCTGAAGGCAGAGGTGTTTTTGAGACTAGGTTAAATAACAGATTGTGGGATCAGAGTTTTCTGCAGAGATACCGGGGTCCAAACCCTGCTCTTCCACTTATTAGATAAGTGATTTCAATAGGTTACTTAAACTCCCAGTTTCCTTATCTAGAAAATAGGAACAATAACAGTGGCCATCTAATCAAAGAATTAAGTACAGAATGATTGATGCAGCACATAAAAAATGCTCTCTGTCACTAAGGGTTATATTATTCTTAGGGTTATTGTGGACATTCAGAGACAGCAAAACGAAGGGAGTGGGAAAGAGGATACCATGAAAGGAATATAAGTCTGGAGTAGTAACACAAAAAAATGTATATACATGGAAAACTAAAAAATTGCATCAACTCTCCAGTTCCATCTCAGGGGAATTCTCTCTTCTGTACAAAGATGGGACAGGGTGAGTTTTCAAACTATAGGCATTGCCAGCTTAGATTTAGTAGCTGAAAACTACCCATTGTCTACTATAATACCTAGTGTCACCACTGATTTTCTTTTGGTCTGTGTCTTGGAAAAAGATGAACCCAAGTACCTGGGGTTTTCCACGGAGACATAGAAACTCTAGAGGCCACAGGGCTTGGTTCCTATGAATATACCCTAAAGCCACTCTGAAGAAGGTAGTTCATAGGGAGAACTAATTAGACTTGCCATTTTCATTAAAAGATAGATGACCTGTGACCTGACATGTCAGATGCTTACGTGCACATTCAGGTGGTCTATCCCTTCTTCTGAGTGTAGTCTAAGGTCAACCCCAAGTTTGATAAGTTGAGTCCCAGGTAGACTCATTCTGCCATTAGTTGAAGGCGAGAACTCTGTCTAACATGAACTTATTACTTTGTTATTGAATTTTATACTCTGTCACAATTATGAAGCACTGATTATGCACCAGATACTTTCATCTGTTACCTTACCTCATTTTCAAATGAGTGTATCTCCACATCACAGATGAAAACACAGAGATATGAGAAAATGCCCAGGCTTGGAATTGAGCCCTGAAGTAAAACTTCTTCCATAACACCAGCAAAATGAGGCAGATGCTATCCTTGGTTTTGTACCCCTCATCCTAGCTGGATCAAGATAAGATGAGTGAGGTCATCCCTGTTCTCACCACCCCATCACAGATGCCCCCTCACCTTCTCCATCTGAGCCCAATAGTCCAGCACACAGCTTGCAAAGTTAAATTCCTCAGGCACATCATGGTCATTCCATCTTGCAGCTCCTGTTTTTGATGAAGACTGGTAGCGCAGCTGCCAAGGGGCAGAGTGGAAGCCATAGGAGGATTTGTAGATGGTCCTGAGGACCTGGAACCTTATCAGCCATTGCATGGTGCGATAGTCCTCAGGAACCAGCACAGAGGACTCAACTCCCCACCTGCCTTGGGAAGAGATGACTAATAGGTTGGTTAGATAGCAGGAACTGTCTCCACAAAATGGGTGCACGTTCCTGTTTTATTGTTAGAGTTTGTTTCAGCTCTCCAGAATCTGAAAGGCACAATTCATTGAGTTAGGTAGGGATTTATCTTCACAGCTAAAGAACCACAAGGCGGAAAATTCTGAGGAAGGATCGCAGCCACTACACAAAGTTGGTACACACTCCTGGGGGTTGTCTTCTCCTTCTGGCCCCCTGGGATTTAAGCTCAAGATAGCAACCATGTGGCTATTCTCTTTGGCATTTCAACTCACCATTTTGAAAGTTCTGTGACTGACACTATCCTTCCTTTGGAGACCTTTCCTCTTGCCAAAGCCAATCATGTGGTTTCCATGGACATCGTCCTATCTTTAGATGACCTTGCCCTCTAACTAAATGGACTGGTCTACGGTCAAACAGTCATTCCCCATGACTTTTTAACATAATCTAGGCCAATCATAAGCCCTTGCCAAAATTTTTATTGTGTGTGTTTGGTACAAAAGAGATAAGAGAAGTGAGGCTATCTCTCTCTGGTGGAAGCTATAAAATGCACATTTTGTGTACTGTCCCTGGTATAAGTCCTGTCATGTGGACATAGCCCCCAAGGGAACACTTCTACACTGCCTGGTAGGACTGCTAACTAATACAGCCTTTTTGGAGAGCAGTATGGAGAGTCCTCAAAGATCTAAAAGCAGACCTTCCATTTGACCCTGCAATCCCACTACTAGGTATCTACCCAGAAGAACAAAAATTATTTTACCACAAAGCCATTTGCACTAAACTGTTTATTGCAGCTCAATTCATAATTGCCAAGTCATAGAAGCAACCTAAGGGCCCATCAACCCATGAATGGATCCACAAACTGTGGTATATGTCTGCTATAGAATATTATTCAGCCATTAAAAAAGATGGAGCCTTTATATCTTTTACATTTACCTGGATGGAGTTGAAATACGTTCTTCTTAGTAAAGTATAGCAAGAATGGAAAAATAAATATCCAGTGTACTCCATACTAGTATGAAATCAATATATAAACAATTACATGTTCATAAGAACAATAAAACACTAATATAGTCCAGTTCGGGGAAGTGGGAGGGTGGAGAGGATGTTTGCAGAAGTAGGGAGGGTGTGAGATGGGATCTCACCTAATGTACATATTGTGAGGGTGTATAGCACCACCCCCCCCCGGGGTGAGAGGCTCTTCTACAAATGGAACTTTACCCTGGAAGTGAGAACAATGTAACCTAAAAATTGTACCCTCATATTAATTTGTATAATAAAATTAACAGAACTGCCATATAATACAGCAGTCCCACTAATGGGATAGCCAAAGGAAATACAAGCCATTTCATGGTGGTAGTATGCTGAAAAGAAATCTGCACTCACATGTTCACTGCTGCACTATTTGTAATAAACAAGATACAGAATCAGCCTAAGTGTCCATCAGTGGATGAATGGATAAAGAAAATATGGTATAGATACACAATGGAATACTATTCAGCCTTAAAAAGGAAAGAAACCCTGATATTTGCAACTTCATAAATGAACTCAGAGGACATTATACTAAAAGTGAAATAAGCTAGGAAGAGAAAGACAAATATCGCGTGATCTCATGCGTGTGTAAAATTTTAAAAAGTCAAACTCAGAACAAAAACACAGCCAGCACTGATTACTGGGAAGTGCCGGGGGCAGTGAGTAGGAGAAGATAGAGAGATGTTTGTCAAAGAGGACAAAGTTTTAGTTAAACAGAATGAATACTTTCTGGAGATCTGCAGCATGGTGACTGTAGTTAATAATGTACTACATGCTTGAAAATTGCTAAGGATAGATCTTAAATGTTCTCACCACACACAC